TTATTTGATTTGAGGTCTGGTGGATGGCCAGAGGCAATGCTGATGGTGATGAGAAGATCTTGTGGTGGTGGTTTAAGGTATAGGTAGGCAGCATTGGTCTAGTTCTGGTGGTGATGGTCGCAGGTGGTGCAGATTGGGGAAGATCATGTGGCGGCGGCATACTATAAATGTTAAAAATTATTGTAGTGACAATGGAAAGATTGAGTGTTACTAATATAACACAATGTATTACAATTAGTGACAACGAAAGTGGTGAAGGGAACATCTTTTACAACAATGTAACACATTGTGATACAAAATGTATGTAAAAAAAATTTTAATAAAAAAAATTTTAAGAAGTATTTTGAGAATAAAAAAGGTTTAAAGGTAAATTTCGAATTGGTAAATATTTATGAATTGTAAGCCAAAGAAGCAAAGAAGACTTGAAAGTGGAAATTACACTATACTGGGCATTTCAAGATGATAGTTCAAAAATCAAGTAATAAGTTTATTTAATCATATATCAGGTGTTAATTTAACTATTAATAATAATAATAATAATAATAATAATAATAATAATAATAATAATAAATCTATCCAACGTCATCCCAATCCAATTTAATCACAAACCCTAAATTCATTTCTTTTCATATTCTCTCCTCACTCTCTCCACCAAACTCACAACTTCGACGTTGCTGCACCAATTGCCAAAGACCACCGCCGAGCTCATAGCGACGATCTCTACCCCCATCCCACATTGACTCCTGCCCTACAAAACCTAATTTATTTTCAAAACTATTAACTACAACCTCCACCTTCACAATGCACCCACTCCGGTGGTTTTTCACCCCGCCCACTCTGGCGAATCTTCACGGTGCAGCAGTGGTGCTCCTTCGTGTTAGGCGTTGCTGCTTCTTGTGCCACAAAGTGGTGCTGCTTCATGTGCATCGACATTGCGAGCAACGATTGCTCTCCTCTATGTTAGGTTGTTTTGTTGCTTCGTGATCGACTCTCCTTAGTGAGCAGTGGTGCAGATCTTTTTTTCTCATTCGTGCACAACGACACAGATCTGCTCTTTTTTTATCTTAGTTTGATTTCTCTAAAATGGATGACATGGAGTCGTAGTGAACGTCGGATGGAGGTTATGAAGGTGGAGGGGGTAGTGGATGCTATGGAAGCTTGGCATTTGGGAGTGGAAACAGACTAGCAGCGATGGAGCTCCGACGAGAAGGAAGTGGTAATGTTGGCGGTGGACGAATCCAGACCAGAGAGTTGGTCACAAAGATAAGAAACACAGATGCAATTGACTAGTTCATCAGATCTGAACTCGAGTTGGGTTACCAACTCAGACTTAGGATTCAAGTTTGTTTGAGAGTCATCTGGAGATGTGGTTTTTGTTGGGAGTTGCGGTTGTGTTGATGGTGGTGTTATGGTGTAGGTGGTGGTTGTGGTTATGGTTATGGTGGTGGCGAAGGTGGCGGGGTGGGATGAAGACTGTTTGTGATCAACTATTTAGGTGTTTGTGACCAACTATATGGTTGATTGTGACCAAGTATTGGTAGTGGATTGTGATTGAGGATGGGGCTGAAGTGTTTGGTGTATGTGATCATCTAATTAATTGTGACCTAAAAATTCGATAATTGTGACCGAAAAATAATTTGTGACCAATCGTTTTGAAAATATGTGGCTGTTAAATAAATTTTAATTTATAAAATCTGTGATTTGTGGTCAATAAATAAAGTGTGACATAATATTTTTAATTTGTAACCGAAAAATAATTGTGACTGTCAAGCGTTTTCTACAACGTGAATTTATGCCGCAAGTGTACAGTGTCAAGTTTTGTAATTTAATGATTGAGTTAAGAGTGTCGAACCCACGGGGATTGTAATTCAATTTCTACCAAATACTATAATTGTTTCATTTTTTACTTTATTTAGACGAACAAAATATCAATTCAAGGTTTTTATTATAAACTAATATGAATGTGTATTAATGCAAATAAATTGAAAATAATTTATAGGAGAATGTTAATGCAAGAAAGCCTAGGGATTGATTTCACCTTACTATCAATTACGACTCAATTATGCCTAACTATTCTAATCAATTTTCCCTTATTTGAAAGCAAGAATCCTAATGTATTTTTCTCCCCTCTCTCGAGTGCTGGCTAGAAATTAATCTTAGAATTTAATTCCAACATCTCAATTCCGAATTAAAATCAAAGATTTATCAAGTTCATGATTCTTTTATAGAGTAAGTTTTATAGATCATATACTTTCTCTCGAGACCCATAAAATCTACGTTGTGTCTATCCTATGATCGCGCCTAAATTCCTCTATCTCGAGTGTTGAATTGACTAGTATCTATGCATTCAATTAGTAGTTAATTAATTGAAGGCATTAATTTCACGACACAATCAAACATATATGAAAAATCAAATAGAATAATTATGACAAAATCAAATCATAATATTAAGTTTGGTTAAATCAAACCCTTGATATGAAATTAGTTCATAACTCCTAAAGACAATATAATAAAGTCTGAATTAAAGAACATGGAGAAGAAAAAAATAAGAAAAACTCTTTTGCAGCTTGAATCCTCCTCAAATTCCTTGTCGTTTTAACTCTAAATCAATTCTCATTTGTGTTGTCTTCTAAGCCGTCCTTCTTCCACAAGAGCCCCATAAATTAGGTCTAAAAACATGTATTTATAGCCCCTTAAAATAATAACACCAATTGGAGGTGTGCCGGGCCGAAAAGAATATGAAAATAGGTATTTTTTCTGTTTCTCGGGACGTGGCTCCGCAACGCCAACCTCTCTGCCAAAATTCCCAGCTCTCTGTCCCTTTTTTTGTTATGCACTTCTTTCAATATTTCTATCATAACTTTTTCTTCTGATATCCTATTGAGGTGATTCAAAATGTTTTGGAAAGCTAACTCATCGGGTTACAACTTTGATTCAGACATCATTTTCTGTGTCAAAAGTGAGTCTCAACATGAGACTAAAAATCCGGAGCAAAACCTTTTTGATTGGAATTTGATGTGAGATCATATTTTGACTAAATTTGATCCCTTCGACATCTTTCCTCATCCAATTGACCCTTAGCACTCTCGAATCTTCATCATGAGGATCGACACAACTTTTGAGTATTTGCACATTAGTCCCCGAACTTAGGATCTCTTACAATTTAGCCCATTTTCTCCAAAATTGTCAACTTTTACTTATTTTCTCCAATCTCTCCAACCTACATCGCAACATCAAAACACACATAAAAACACTCTAAAACTTTATCAATGGTAACAAAATAATGAATTAAGTGGCATAAATATCATGAATGTGGAGCACTCATCAATGACAATATAAGTATGCAACTATGTCCTTAATATATGTAGGGCATGTTTGGTACATATTCTCATTTTTTACAGTAAATCAATTCTCATTTTCAATCACACATTTTTCAATAAAATAATATTTTTCATCACATCAATATTTTTTTCTTCTTTTTCAACCACACATTTCCCATCATATCACTATTCAAAAATCAATTTTTTCCCCAAAAATCTCTACCAAACACACTCTTAATTATTTAGTTATCACATGTGATTTGAAAATTTAAACTTATTGTTTGTGTTTTGAATTGGCCTATACTTTACACCTGAGATATGAATTTTTATTGACTTGAAATGTGGCAACAATAATAGTTCCGAGACTGGTTAATTTGGCGAAACTGGTTTGTAATTGGGCCTTAGAAACTAAGACTTAATCGTTGAAATTGGGTCTCAATTGGAATGGAGGCCCAGTGCACCATACTGGGCTAATTCTTTAGATTCGATCTTAACGAACTAAAATCGCATTACCTATAAATAATTGAAATGACAATTTCCAAAATGGCTATTGTAGTAGTGTAGGAAGGTTAGTTGGGAAGTTTGCCTTTTTCTTTTTCTTTTCCATCAGAAGTGGAAAAAAATAAAATAAGAGAGAATGAAAAAAGTTGACATGCTACCGTTGCCATGCAAATGTAACGAAATTTCACCGAATATGTGGTCCAATGGCTATGTAATTTCCTAATTTTTGTCCAAAAATGAAAAATAAAAAATGAGAAAACCACCTAGTACGAAACATTATTGATGTGACACCTTTGACGAACAAATCCCAGAAACAAGGGGAAGAGAAAGAGAACCTAAATCAAAATGAAAATGTTCAGAAGGTTGAGAAATACCGGAACAATCATGGCGAAACGTAATGGATCCAACATGGGTTCCTTCTCGTCCGTCGAAGAAGCATACGACGTCGTTGATGACCTGTCCTCCTGGGAATTCGTGGATCCATCTTTATCAGAAGATGAAGAGCAAGACCTCCGCTCCTTTACGGACGAAGATGACGTCAAAGAATGGGAAGGAGGAGGAGGATTGGGAAAGTGAATCGCCTGGTGAAGTCATTTCCATGGAGTCTCTTTCAGTCTCACCACCCCCAACTGACGCTGACCACCTTTGATGGATCCAACATGGGTTCCTTCTCTTCCGTCGAAGAAGCATACGACGTCGTTGATGACCTGTCCTCGTGGGAATGATTGTTGAAAAACCAGAAGCTCACACACAAGTAACTCACAAGTATGGCTGAATAATACATTTATTGAATGAAGACAAACTGGCTTATATAGCCATTACAAATACAAGAACGTGCAACCCACTTCTCAACAGCCCTGAGTTTGTGGTAGAGTAACTGGAGAATAGGACAAAAGGCTAACAAACCCAAACAGCTTTGAATTAGCTTCTCCCAATAAATAGGAGTTATTGAACTGAAACGGATAAATCCTAAACAAAAAAATGACTCTTAGCAATCTTTAACAGAACCTAACAATCTCTCCCTTAAACTGAAGCTACTAGAACAGCTCAGTTTACTTCATCTTTGGCCTTGACTCCAAGCATCCCTCGAAGCCTCTCAAATGTTTCCAACTTCAGAGGCTTAGTTAATTTGTCTGCAAGTTGCTCACTGCTACC